CGCTCACCGAGCTGCACCAGCGCGTAGAGGAGGCCGGAGATCGACACCAGAAAGTAGGCGAGAAACACGTTCTTCAGCTTCAGCTTCATGGCCCCACCGCCGCCGCTGCCGTCAGGGCAGGCGGGGTCCGGCGGGGTTTTTGGTCCCCAACCCCCGCCCGCCAGCCTGCAGGCCCCGCCCCAGCAGCGGCCCCGCCTTTCTCACACTCCTCTCATCCAACTCGGAGGAGCTGGGGCTGTTGGCGCCCTCTGGGCCCACTTCCGGTCAGCCTGAAAGCCCCGCCCCTACGTTTATTTCCGGTCCCACCGCCTAGTTCTGGGAACCACGGGAGTGGGTTACGTCATATCCGGCCTTTAAGCGCGCGGTGCTCTGCAGTCGGGTGCTCAGTGTGGGCACATGGCATCAAGTTTGAGACCTTCCCCTTGAACTGCAGTATTTCTCCTTGCGCCCAAATTTTTCTCTTTGTATTCATTCATTCAGATTGTAGTCACAGCACCCAGTAACTCAATAAATACTTGTTATATGAATGAAATCTAGGGCCTATCGTGTGCCAGGCCTGTGCTCTAGGTCCGTCTCATATAATCCTGAGTTAGATGGTATAGTCCCCATTTTATAAATAAGGTTAACGAGAGTTTTGGAATTGCCATTGTGCAATTTTCTGCGTCCCTCCTAGATACCTGAACTACAGGTTCTGTATTGTTTCCTGACTCGCATTTCTCAGGTGACAATGCGTTCTGGGGTGGGCTGCCAAGGCAGTGGGCTATCTCCCAGGGAACTGACTGAAAATACTTCCTGAGCTGAGGAATTCTATGAACACAGCCCCTTAACTCCTGAGGGGAAGCAGAATTTTGCCACCCCAAAATATGCCTCTTGGGGATATTTTAAGCTGGTTGTTTTTAAGAAATGACTCAAGAAGAGCCTTTTACTTTCCCCTTATCTGCTTAAAGGAAAGGAATGCTCACCTTAGCATCATAAGAACTAAGTGGCAACCAGGGAGAAATCTTTTAACAAAATTACCCTGTGTCCCATTGTGTCTGGGTGGCCCATCAAGAACTTACCAAATATTTGCTTTCTCATCTACCTGTGAATCGCCTACTTTCCTTCCCTCTGAAGTCCCAGACCCCTGACTCCCTCTTAGTCCAGGATGGCATATAAACCCTAACCGCCTGATTTGTCTTCCAATCTCATATGCTTAGGGAGCGCCATATGTACATACGTAATACATTTAGTTATTTTCTCCTAGTAATCTCATGTCAATTTATTAGACCAGCCAGAAGAACTTAAACTAGTTTCTTGTAAAGCGTTGTGGTCAGTCTACAAAATAGAGAAAATTACTGTCACTAAAAGTGGGAAATTTTTAAAAATGCTGCTAAAGAGAAGCAGCCTTTCATGTGAGAACATCTGATCATCTAGCTATTTCTATTCAAGGGGGGCCCCATCAGCTCTGGTCACCACTATTAGCTTAGGCCTACTAAAATCTTGTCAATGTAAAAAATGTCTAAACCTAAAGAGAATTTTTAAAGAGTACTTGAGCCAAACTGAGGACATATGCCAGGATGCAAGACCTCAAATTCTTCAGAGAATGGCAGCTTTGCAGCTCATTTTATACATCAGAAGCAAAGAAGACATAAGGAAGGTGCATGAAATCTACTGGTGGTAAATTAAGAAGGTAGGAGAAAGTACAATGGTGAAAGCTCTTCAACTGGATAAAAGGCAACGTGGAGAGACATCTTTTACATTGGTGGGTACAGGATAGTTAATAATCAACATTTATAGCACACAGAGGTGCTATGCGGGGAACAGGTTAACAATGAGGGGTTCTGTGGTCTCGTGCTCTGGTGCCTACAGCTGTGCCTTCCAGGGATAGGAAAAGAAAATTACTCTGACATTTCAAAGGTATATTATTCTAGATGCCTAAGAACGATGGACAGAGCTCACTTAAAGATTGACCTTTGCTAAGGAAGCTATAGGCCTAAAATATGACTACTCGCTATGACTTGCCCAGTTAGGAATTTGTGATCAGACCATCCGGTGTGGTTACTTTTGGTCACTGAGCTTGTCAGACCTGCTATGTGGTCTCCCTGAGCTCGCCAAGTTTATTACATAGCAACTTTTTCATTCACAATCTGATGACCTTGTGGGGCTTCTCTGTGAAAACACTGGCATTTAACAAACTGAGGAAGGCTTGCACTCACTCATTTTGCTGAATCGACAAGGCTTATGCTGAAGCCTTATGATGAAAATGTCATGCCCTCAGGCTTCTCAGGGTCAGTGATTCAGGCCAGAACTAGAGATATGGACAGTTATTTATGGTTTAGCTCTTTATTGTTGCTTCTTTTATCAAAACCTGTCACAGCTGGGGGCCAAGAGGAAGTAAAAAAAATTCTCACAAATATGCCCCCTCATCTCCAGTTAGTCCTCCCCCCCGCCCCCCACCCAGGGCGTTGGGCCAACCCTGAGCACACATGATCATCTCTCCCATCTTCAGCCTTCTCCCAGCAATAAATACAGGCGACCGTGATTCAGTGAAACTGCAACAGATTTCTCCATTTTGAATGCCCCTCAAGGGGACAAAAAGGAAGCAAAGAAGTTCAATGCCTAACCCCTCTTAAGGAATGGAAACTTCTTTCCCCTAAGGGACAGAGGAGACAAAACTGTCCCTGTCAGAACTGTAGCTCTAGAAGGAATTGGGGAAAGGAAAGGCTGGAACAAGAGAGAAGAGAAGGAAGAGGAAGTTCTCCAGCAACCTCGCTCCTTTGATCCATTCATCCCTTCTCAGATAAGGGGTGGTCCCAGTGTATCCGTGGGGCATAAAAAGGGGAGAGCTGACAGAGAAGAGCCAGGAGGAAGAAATAAAACGAGAAAGCAGTTTGGTGGAGAGGGAAGGGGAAGGAGAAAAAGAGCCCGAAAGCTCACTGCCCTCATCTTCTTCCAAGAAATGGCATCGACACACAAGAGGCGTGAATGAGTAGGGTCTGGAGGATTCGGGACCCCCAAAAGAAATGAAAGAGAAAGGAAAGCAAGAGTGCTGTGGTCCCCAGGTCTTCACAGGTGAATGTGCTCCACACAGAGCAATAGAGTGTTGGGGATGAAGGGAGACTTGGTGTCAGTGGGTGGGAGAGGTCAGGAGATCATAATTGGAATCCAGAGCCCAGAAACAGCCCTCTCCTCCTGCCCAAATGTTGGCAGAATCTGGGTTTCGGGATAAGGAAGGTGAAGTCTGGGGAGGGTCAAACTCCAAGGCAGAAGGAGTAACTCTCATCACCACCATACCTCCTACCCCCCAATGTCCCTTGGGTTATCGCAAGTGAATACTCCAGTCAGATGCCACATTAACACCAGGCTTACGCAAGATCAACACAGAGGTCTCAGGGTCATGCTGGAAGGACAGGTGGCTTTCAGGAGATCCTGGAGGAGACCAAAGAGTACTGCAGTCATAGCAACAACTTTCCTACAGGCAAGATGTCCCCAACCCTGCCCCTGCTTCCCCTCTTTGCTCTCCCTGGAGGCCGGACCACTCACTCACCTTTTGTCTGGAGTACCACGGCTGCTGGCTTTCCAGCCCCTATTATCACCACCCGCTCAATCCAGACTGGTGTCTCAAAGTGGCCTTTGGGATCTGCTGAGCTGGAGGGAGCAAAAATTAATGCCCATCACGGAGAAAGATGCCAGAGCAAAAGGGAGGAGATCCAGAGCAAGATCATGATGCTGTGAGCATCCCCGAGGCCCGGCCTCCTCCCGAGGCTGCCAAGGCAGGCAGAATGGGCACCTCATTACCTGGAGACGAGGGTGTTGCCAGAGAATGAGAATCGACGCAGTAGGAACTCATGGCGAGTCTGATAATTGAACGTGTGCCCATCATCTAGATAGAGCTCTCCTTGGGCTGTACCCTGGGGAGGGAGTGGAATAGGTGAGTGCTTGAGCTCAAGAGAGTGAGGGGACTGACTCCTAGGAAGGTACGGATGACTGAAGAGGCCTCCTGCCTATGCTCTCACCTGGGGGCTGAGTGCAACAAAAAGAGTGATGGGGTCTTCCTTCATACACTCGGAAGAACGCCGCACTCGCATCCACCGAGGTATAATTGTCCCTCCGCGCTGGAACGCAGGGATCTAGGGCAAGAGCAGTGCCGGGATGAAGTTGCCCCATTGTCCAACCCTGGCCCTGCAGCTTCCTTTGCTCCTGCCCATCTTTCAAAGCACACACTTTCTCCCACTCTGGAAACCTGCGGGCAGATGGAGCTGGCAGCTGGGCCAGGCATACTCACACTGCTTAGGGTTACAGGCAGGTACAGGGTCTGGGGACCATGATGCTTCTGGTAGCTATGAACGTCATACCATACCTGTGGGCAGCAGGAAAAACAGTTGGTCACTCATTGCACAGGGCCCCCATTCCACTTACCGCCTGTGGCCTCCACCATCATTCCCCACCATGTCCTTCCTTAACTTACCTCCCCTTGGCCAGGCAGATAGACCTGCACACCATGAGCCCCTGAGTCTGATACAGGATGAACCAGCAACGCATCTCCTAAACGCACCAGAATCAAAATGATCTGAGATCAGTTCCAAGGCAGGGAGCACCGAAGCGCCTGCGCCCTTGCTCCACCAGCCTCGCCCACTCCTCCCTCCCTGCACGTCCAAGATACAGCTCCCACGAGTGCTTATTTCTCACCCCTCCCCTTAAGCGCCCACCACCAGCTGTCCTCCCCATTTCTCACCAAGCAGGAATTGATCATCTATACTAAAAGTGGTGACATCCTGAGGATAATGCACCCACAGCGGCCTAGGAAGGAAGCAAGACAAGAAAGCTAGACACTTGCTGTTGTGGCAGAAGTCAAAGATGCCGCCCCAGGAATTGGTGATGAGAAAAGCACAGGGGTAAAACCCAGGAGCTGACAGCCAGACAGTCCGGACAGGCTTCAGGCCTCAGCTCTGCAACCTCACCCTGGTCTAGGTATCTAACTTCCTAACCCACCGCCCTGCCCCCTCCTGCCCTGCCCACTCTTGAAACTGTTCTGAACAGCAGCTTTCCAGTGGCCACTTGGTTATCCTGGCCTGAAAGGCCCTTCAGGATCATGTCGAATTTTCCTCTGCCACCTCATCTCTCACCTCTCCTTCTGGTTCCTTGCCCCTGAGAAACACAGTTTTTCTATCCCTGGAATACAAAAAACTCATTTCCAACTTAGAATTTTTGCACCTGGGGTCTCCTCTGTTTGGGATATTCTTCCTTTAGATCATGAAGATCTGTCTGACCCCTCGGTTAGGTCTCATCTCACATGGCCTTCTTCTCAAAAAAGCTATTTGTGGAACCTAATTTCACTACCCTCTTCTATTTTTTCAAACAGCTTGTCACTGTTGGCAATTTTCTTATTTATATATTTGTTTCCAAGTCTTTCCTCCTCCTAAGAATGTACATTTCACAAAGGTAGGACACTTGTCTGCAATGTTTCTGGCTCTGAGGATAGTGATAAATAATGCCTGGCATGTCATCAGCACTCAATAATGTCTACTGCTATTCATTCCTGTCCTTCTTTTGTTATTCTTGGCCTTGAAATCACATTTTCCTCCTTTATAAGACCCTAGTGAGTAAAAGAGGTGCAGAGACGGAACCCAGTCCCCACTGTCCCCCCGCCACCGCAGCCCACTCTACACAGACCCAACTGAATGCCTCACCTCATGACAGGAATCCCTTCACGATGGGCCTGATAGAGGAGTGTGTACCAGAAAGGCAGCAAGGCGTATCGCTGGTCCAATGCATCTCGAATTATGTCCTGGTACTGAGACGGTAACAGCCATGGCTCTCGCCGCCCGGTGTCCAAGTGGGCATGTGCCCGGAAGAATGGCTGGTAGGCACCCATCTGGTACCAACGGACAAGGAGCTCTGGTGCTGGATTCTTGAAGAAGCCACCCACGTCGGCTGGAAAAGAAGGAAGGAAGGTTGGAAAAAGAGGGTGAAGGAGGGCTGCTGTGCAGGAATCTCTGAAGCCCTGTGCTGCCCCTGCCCCTCAGCCCTCTACTTTGCCTGTCTCCCACCAAACCAAGGACCCCCAACTCTTCCTCCTCTCACCCCCACAGAAGGATATTCCCACCAGCCCCAAGCTGAGACACATAGGGATAGAGATCTTCAAATGGTCCCATTCAGCGGTGTTGTCTCCTGTCCACACGGCTCCTGAGGAAGACAAGAGAGAGGGAGGGAGCTTGCAAATAGTGACGCACTTAGCTTCTTATATAACTGACCTCTCTGACCTGCCACATCTGCTCTGAGACCCCCCAGGGTCCGGCTGAAGATGGCAGAGTTCACAATAGCTCTTAAGGGACCTCCCACTCCCTGGCGTCCCTCAAAGTGCAGAGCTGGGAGGAGGTGATGTGCAGCTCTCACAGGATAGCCACATGGACAGACTGCTTGAGGACCAGGCCTCGGTCCACAGCGCCTCCCACGTGGCCCTCACCCCCTCTCCCTTGGCTCTATTCTCCAAATCTTACCATAGCGCTGGGAGCCAGAAAAGAAAGCCCTGCTCAGGACAAAGGGGCGTTCTACGCCCCCAGAGCGCAGAACCAGTCCCTCAGCAGTCGCCATGTGCTGAGTGGAGACAGGAGAGAGGAGGGGTAGTGAGGAGCAAACGCCAGCTGTCATCTGTTGCAAGTCCCCCAGCCCTTGGACCCCGCTTCAGCCCCTTACCACATATAAGCCGTAGATGTTGTGCACATCTCGGTGCTCCCAGCCCCCGTAATGCTTGGCATCCTTGAGCATAGTGACCTCAGGACCATTGAACACAGATGGTTCATTCATGTCATTCCAGACATAGAGGTTGGGAGCTGAGCCCTGAGAACACAAGGCAAAAAATGGAGACAGAAGGACAAAGGAGAGAAACAGAGTCAGACAAACAGTGTCAGAGCAGCAGAGCTCCTGAGAATCCAAAAAGATGCATTTCTCAGGGACCATTAAGGCCCCTGATATACTACAGGCAACCAACCATGGCAGGATCGACAGGCAGAGAATTTGAAGAGGGAAAGACAGATGCAGGTCGGGAGAGGCCGTACCTCATAGTTGTCAAAGCTGAACATGTTAGCCCACCAGGCCCTCATGGTGGGATTGGTAAAGTCGGGGTAACTAGCTGCACCTAGGAGTTAAGGGTGGCTGTCAATCCCCAAGGGGAGAAATGGTCACCATTCTTCCTCCCTGGTTTTCCGATAACCCGTCCCTCAATTTTGGGTCCACACCACCTACCTGGCCAGCACCAGCCCTCGTAGTCAAAGCCATCCCGGGTTTTAACGTACAGATGCAGGCTCTGCAACTCCTCGTGTATGCGGTAGCCAGAGTCCACTTTGATGTGCGGGTCCACGATGGCGACCAGCTGGGAGCAAGAACACGTGGTCAGGGCTCTCCAGGGCTACTGTGTTGGAGATCAACATAGAACGCGGCTGCAGCCCTTTTACCTTCCGCTTCTTGGAGGCCAAGTGCTCGAGCATGGTGAGGGGCTGGGGGAAACGGCTGGAGTCCCAGGTGAAGTACCGCTTGCCATCGGCATGCTCGATGTCCAGCCAGATGACATCGCAGGGCAGGTTGTGGTCATCGAAGCCCTGACTGACTTCCAGCACGTCGGCCTCGTCCCGGTAGTTCCAGCGGCTCTGGTGGTAGCCGAGGGAGAAGAGCGGGGGCAGTGCCTGGGTCCCTGCAGGTTCAGCGAGTGACCGGGGTCACAATGGGATCAGGCCAGGCTGGGGCCAGAGGGAACACCCAGGAATTGAAGGCGGCTTCTAAACTAGAGGAGGGCTGAAGGACAGAGGACTTCTGAAAGTGCAGTTGCCCCTCTCAAGAAGACCAGGGCCAGAAAAGGAAGCTGCCAGCCGACAGAGGGGGACGCTGTGTACCTGTGAGACTGGCATACTGCCGGAAGATATCAAAGACCGAAGGCCCGAGCAGCAGGAAGACATCGATGATGCCGCTCTCTGACATCCAGCGGACATCTGTCTGTGGGGTCTCTCCAGACCCCTGCAGGTAGTCTAGCATCTTCCCAAACAAGGTCTGTAGAGGGGACCGCAGAGAGATCTGACACCCTCCCTCTCATTCCCCAACCCAAAGACAAAGCGGCAATGTCCTCCTCAAAATCCTCACAAAGCTTCTGATGAGTCGCTCTGGGCTGAAATTAAATGTCACCTCCTCAGCGGACCCCTCTCTCTGAAGCAGCACTGCCCCCACCCCCACCACACGACTGCTGCATTTCTTTCTCAGCACGCACCACCACCAAGCTCATCTTGTCTTTGCTATCCATTTGCCGGCTGTCTGCCTCCCTGAGTGAGGGCCTTTCCAACCTCAACAAGAAATATACCTCCAGCACCTAGAAAAGTATCCAGCACATGATGCGTACTCAATCACAAATGTGCTGACAATAAATGCAGAGAGCGCAACGCTTCCCCATGAGCGTGCATCTTCTAGTAGTGACGGGGGAACTCAAAGACTGCTCCCAGGGCCCAGCGTCCTGCTGTCACGCAATCCCAAAAAGGCTTTCTTCAAAGCTAATGGCCCGTCCACCTCCAGGCCTGAAGACTCCCTTCCCTTCCTGCTGCCCGTGCCTGTGCTCTCACCTTCCCCGCAGTGTTGGAGGATATGTCAACCCAAGTTTCTGCGGCATTGAGCCAGAAGATTCCCAGGTCTCGATGAGGACTGTGTCCCAGGAGCACAGGCACAGACCCGTACAGGGCCATGGGGTTGTACAGCTCATACTGGAATACATCCAAATTGTAGAGGCGATACGGCTCCCCACCCCTGCAGGCAGGCAGGCAGGCAGACGGACTAGCCCCAGGCCCCGGTACACACAACCCCTACCCCATAGACACAGCTGAGGGATAAGAACTGGTCCCTCTGCCCTTTCTCAAAGAAGAATTATCCAACTGCCAAAGGTGATCTGGGCACAGGAAGCGATTCACGCTTCTCTGGAGTATCCAATATGCATGCACATCCCCTCACAATCTGACTTCCGACCCCTCTCTCCCCCTATATCCTGAGGTCACCATGAAACTCACTCAGTGACCTTCAGCCTCAGGTTGTCTGCATGCTCGGGGATCCCATACACATGCTCCATGCCTGGCAGAGAGAAGTCCAAACCTACAGATGTGGGACCTGAAAGGAAAGCAAAAGATGAGGTCCAGAGCCTCCGCTGGCGAAGACGCCCTGCGCCCCTGCCGAGGCTCTCCCGGTCCCTCACCATAAGGCTTGGTGTCAGTGTGAGTTTTGAATGTCTCCTCCCAAGCTCCTGGCTCATCTTTCTCTGCCTTGCCCTGGGTCTCTTCTGGCTGTGAGGAACAGAGCAGACCACTACCCAATCATACACCAGTTCTCTCTCTTCCCCCATCCCTTTGCTAAATTCCATCCCTGATAGTGAGATTCAGCTCAAGTTTCTTGTGGGCCTTTCCCCTCCAACCTCCCAGTCATCCCTGTGCTCCGGCCACCCACCCCCACCGACTTGCCTTGTCACCATCCCCAGGAGTTTCCTCGGGCTGGGCCCCATCGCCCTCAGCTGGGTCTTTTGATCCTTGCCTGGAAGGTAGGAGAGCTGTCTGCTCCAATCCAGAGGGGATAGGGACGAGGGGCTAGTGGAAGGAGGGGTGAGGGAATAGAGAGCCAAGGGTCCAAAGGAAGGAAGGCACTGGAGGAAGGGACTGAACGTTAAAGCCTGGAGAGAAACCCCCGCAGTGAAGAGATACGTGTACAGAGGATGAGGAGAGAAATGAGGAAGGGAAATGAGGAGTAAATGCCACCAGGAAATGCCTTCCACACAGGCCCAAGTCATCAGCCTCTACCAGCATCCCAAAGACAGGTGGGTTCAGGGCCTAGGTTCGGAATGCCAGTCCTGGCTCTGCTGCCTCCACTGAGACACGCTGGCCTCAAATGCCCACACGGGGCCTCAGCCTTTCGGCTTGACGCACGGGTTTTGCAAAGGCAGGTGGGTCATACCATGATCCAGCCTCTACAGATATATGCAGGGACTCAAATGAGAGGTTGTGCCAAAGAATGCTTTCAAGGGCAGCTGGCAAGCAGCTCTGCCCAGAGCCTCAGTGCACCTGAGCTGAGAGCCAGGAATCCCAGCAACACCCAGCATCTCTCCCCCGCTTGGCAGAGCAAGAAGCTTCCTATATTCCTTAAGGACGTCCAACATTTCATCTTCCTCCTCCCAGGGGGCTCCCAGTCAGAACAGGGACCAGGACCAGATAGCACATAGCTGGAGAAAGAGCGGTGATGAAGGGCAGGGCATGGAAGGGTCTGGGGCACCTTCCCCTGGGGGCCAGAGTGAAGGGCGGGTAAGGGCAGAGGAACACATACAGTACCAGTGGCCATGGATTTACCTAGAGAAAAGGTTCTTGATCTTATCCCAAATGCTACCGAGCGTGAGACTAACTTTATCCGAGAAACTAGGGCAGGAGGAGATGGGTAGGGAAGGGGAAAAGGAGGCACAAAACCAACACAAAAACAGAAACATAAAAGTGAGTTTCAGTCGACAAACTTCCAGAGATGGGGGGCGGCGGGGAAGAAAATAAATCTGGGAAATGTGATGGCGTGAGAAGGGGAAGAGGGGAAAGGCAGACCCAGGCAGGCCTCTCTCAGAGGAGGTGCCCAGGGTACAGCTCAGGGACAAAAGTGACTGCCTCCTGGTCTGCAGAGGAAACGAAAACGACTGCAAGCAGCCTGCTTCCTACCACCCCTAACCGACAGCTTCTCCCAGCACTCGGCCCCTACCTGCTGTCTTGCCACCCTGTCTTCTCTCAGGGACCCAGTGCCAGACCCCACAATGTCCCTAGGCTTTCAGACTAGGTCACCTTCAGTCCCAACCCCTGTACTCACGAGACCCTGGGGGCTCTCTGGTGCTCAAAAGCTAAGAGTCCTCGGGCATTGACACTGAGCAGAAGGCTGCGGTCCTCTAGCAGGTCAAGGCGGAACGGCCGTGCTGTCAAGATGATTTTATAGGGTCCTTCAGCCACGGTTAGCTCCACACTATTGTCGTCACGGCCAGAGACGGAAAGCCTAGGAAAGAGATCGAAAGGAATTTAAGGATGTGCAAAAGACCAAGAGTGTAGTTTCGACACTTTAGAAGAAGGGGGACCTGCTAAGAGCTACAGACAGTATGGCAACGGAGCAGGGATAGCCAAAGTGACCAAAGGAACCCAATAGAGCCTGGAAACAGACCTAAGGATAGTTAGAACTCGGAAGTGTAGCAGAGGTGGTATGGCCACTCACTGAGGTCAGGAGGACTATTCAATAATGGAGATCCGCTGGATAGGAAAAAAATGGTGTCATATTCCTACCTTCTACCAGATACAATTTTCAACTTCAGACAGATTAGTACTTAAAATTTAAAAGTAAAATCTTTGGAAGAAAATATAAACAAACATTTTTCTGACCTTGAAATAGAAAAGAATTGTTTTAAACACAACTTAGAAAACACTGACACCAGAAGGTAAAAGACATACATTTGACAACACTAAAATTCGGAATTTCTATTTATCGAAAGACACCTTTAGGGTCATCAAGAACAAGAAAAGTCTGAGAAACTGTTCCAGGATAGAGGAGCCTAAGGAGACACGACTGCTAAATATAATATGGTATCCTAGATAAGTGGGATCCTAAAACAGAAAAAGGGTATTAAGTAAAAGCTAAGGGAATCTGAATAAAATGTGGACTTTAGTTAGTTAGTAATAATGATATCGATTCATGAAGTACAACAATTGTACCACAGTAACATTAACAATAGGGGAAAATAGGAGTGGAGGGTATACAGGATCTCTCATAATATTCTTGCAACTTTTCTATAAATCTAAAACTATTCTAAAGTAAAAAATCTTTTTTTCCCAAGGCACCTTTAAGAAAATAAAAAGATAAGCTATAGCTTGGGAAAAACAGCTTAAGTATAAGTGAGAAAGAATTAGTATAAAACCGATTCGTAAAGATCTATGCACCCTTATGTTCACTGCAGTGCTATTTACGATAGCCAAATATAGAAGCAACCTAAGTGCTCATCAACGGACAATTGAATAAAGAAGTTATGATTCATATATACCATAGAATATTACTCAGCCATAAAAAAAAAAAAATGAAAATCTTACCATTTGCAATAACATGAATGAACCTAGAAGGTATTATGCTGAGTGAAATAAGTCAGAGAAAAATAAATACCATATGATTTCATTTATATGTGGAATCTAAAGAATAAAAGGAACAAACTAAGTGAAAACAGACTCACAGATAAAGAGAACAAACTGGTGACTGCCAGAGGGGAGGGAGGTAGGGGCCTTAGTGAAAAAAGGTGAAGGGATGAAGAAGTACACATTAGCAGTTACAAAACAGTCACGGGACGTAGAGCACAGCACAGGGAATACAGTCAATATTACTGTAATGGCTGTGTGAAGAGCCAGATGCACGCTAGAGTAATCGGGGGGATCACTTCATGAACTACGTAAACATCGAACCATTATACTGTATACCTGAACTAAACAAACAAAAAAAAAGAATTAGGTGTTAAGACTCATGAATTTCTACAAATCAATAAGGACAAACAACATAAAAACAAAATAGGCATAGTTGGCAACTACCATTTCATAGACTAGTAAACCACAATGACAAACACATGAAGACACAATCTCATTAATAAACTGGAAAAGACAACCAAGCCAAGACCACCATAGATGGGTGGTATCATTCTACACCCATTTCGTTCACAAAAATTAAGTCCTACAGTACCAAGGATTGAGGAAGATGTAAATCAATGAGGTCTCTCACATATTGCTGGCAGAAGTGTAAACTGGTAAGCCACTTTGGCTTTATTTTAGAAAGTTGATCATTTCCATGTTCTACAACTCTGCAGTCCCTCTCCTAGCTATATAACAAAGAGAAACTCCTGCACAGGGACACAGGAGACATGGACAAGAATATTCATGCCCAAACTTTGAATAACAAAACACTGGAAACCACCCAAATGTCCATCAATGTAGAAATGAGTATGTTGGGATATAGTCATACATTATACAGTAGTAAAAATGAACTACTAGAGCTGCATGCAACAGAGTTAAATAAAGTTAGGTGAAAAAAGAAAATCCCAGAGGACTTTCATTAAGATATCATCCCTATGAAGCTCAAAAATGAACAAAACCACATAATTTATTGCTTAGGCACATATGTACAAGTATGTATACGTGTTTATACACATCTACACACGAAATGACTGTAAAAAAAAAAAGCCAAGGGAATGATAAACTTCAGAGTAACGATCGTTGCTGGGCAGGGGGTCACAGGTACAGGACAGTGAGAAGTATATAGATGGGTTGGGTAGAGGACTCATAGAGTAGAGTTTGTTATTTTCTAAATTAAACAATTGTCATTCATGGAACAATGATGATAGTGAGTCATGACCTAAGAATTTGAGTAATCTTATCCTTAAAATATGGGGGGAAAAAAAAAAAGAAGAGAAGTAAGAAAGGGAGAAGGGAAGATGAGGGAAGGGAGGAAGGAACCAACCACAGAGACATTGTATTCCTGGAGGGCAGGATCTGTGCCTTGTTCATTTCCTCTTGTATCACTAGTACCTACCCTAGGTTCTGGTGCAGAAGAGGAAGCAGTATCTGCTGAATGAATGGAAATTAAAAGGAGAAAGAGAAAATAGGTCAAACAGAGAAAGAGAAAGGTTGAGGAGAGTGGCAAAGTGCTATTATCTCAATGTGAGAAAGTCAGCTGCCAAATACAAATTCATCAGGAAGGAGAAAAGGGCCATGGACACAGATAGGTTTCTCTGGAAAAATTTACCGAGCTGTTGGGGGATCAGCCACCAACACATCTGGTACACGGTATCGGGGCCGCCGGGGCTCCAGTTCATCAATCCTGATCCGAGTCATGTTCTTTTGAAGCCCCTGGAGCTCCAGCACCAGCAATACCTGAGGGGGCAGAGGTTTGGAATTGGAGAAAGGAGAGGACCACACCATGGAATGCCCTCGGAACCAACTCCCTCCTGAGGGGTCTCCTCCTTCTAGCTCTTTGCCTAAGGGATCCGAGATCTGAATTCCTCACGAAGTAAAAGCCCCAAGATTAGGCTACAGCAGGACGTTGGCTATGGGTTCACCCTTCCTGAATTGCCCCTTAGCCACTCCCCCACCCCCATCAGACTCTTCCTTTTTTCCACTGACCTTGGTGACCTCATTGATCAGATGGACTGTGAGAGCATCAGGACCAAGCTGCAGTGAGTCCAGCAGGGCTCGGTATGGAGAAAGGCCTGGACGTATGCTTCGCTGCCGCCTGTCAAGTGAAAGGGTTAAGAATGTGGGAGGGCAGCCTGATGTCCGCAGGTCCCCCTATCACTAGCAGTGTCCCCAGGCTACCCCATCTGCCAGAGATACCTCGCACATCACCCTACTTTCCATCCCACTCTCCTAGAAATATCATACCTGCAGAAGGAACTCTCTTCACAGGTCTTAAAGTTACTTCTATCCACAGCAAGGGTGATTCCCAGGCAGACCCCTAAACAAGCCAGTACCAAACCTGCCCGTGACCTAAGGAGAAAAAGGACAAAGAGGGAACAATCGGCTTGGGGTCAGAACGGGCCCCACCTTCAGAGGTAAAGGCCACATCCCTAAAAGACAGCTCAGAAAAGAGGGAAGATGGAGTCCCTTTAAACAAAAAGAAGGCAGAGGAGGCATGGTGTTAAGTGTCAGGCCTGGGGAGTTGGCTCACTTACCCCATACCTTTAAAAAGGTGGAGGAACTGGACAAGGATCTTTGGCCTTCAGAGGCCCTGCTGTTGACTCTGGTTACATCAGCCTCTCAGTGGAAAGGAGCAATAACAGTGAGCCCCAGGGGAAGCAGTGGCACCATGTGTGTGGATGAGGGAAACAAAGCAAGCCATGCCTTTGCACCGGCAAGGCACTGGGTGGAGCTACAGTGAAAAAGTTAAAGATGTACCCTCAGCTAGCCTACTGGTCACAGTTCCTAGGGTACAAACATCCCTAGCACTCCAGCATCCTGCCCCTCAGATCTCCACTCCTATACCTTCAAGTTACCACTATCATGAACTAAGCCTGAAAAAACTAACTTGCATTAAATCCTAATGTACCCTCAGGAGCCTAGCTAACGGCTTTCTAGCCCTAGTTTTTCAACTCTGCCTGAAGTTTTTAACTGTCAAAGTCTAGGTCTCACCCCTAGCGATTTTGATCTAATTGGTCTGAAGAAGGGCCTGGGCATAAGAATTTTTTTAAAGTTCCCTAAACGACTCTAGTGGGCAATAAGGTTTCAGAATCACTTCTTTATACGCACAACTTCTTTTCCCTTTTTCTGTTTTCTTGGTGAATGTAAGGTTAAGATTTCTTCCAAATAGGAAAACGGAAGCATAAAAGGTTCAATAAGTCATCCAAGATTGAACAGGGGTGAAACTAGGATTGAACTCAGCCATGACTCTGAGGCCCATGTACTTTATGATGCAAAACACAGCACACTAACCACTGGCAGGGCCTGCCCCACTGAGGACCATCGCCCCAAGGTTACCACAAACTATCACTTCCCCAGCGTAATGTCAAATGACAGACAAGGGACTTAATGGGCTTCTTTAAACAAGTTAGTCTGAAGGATATATTCAGCTATTCTGAGTATATCATAAACAGGAGTTCTCAAACTTTAGTGTCTGTTAAGAATCACCTTCACTGCTTATTAAATGAAGATCCCAAAGCCTGGGAATCTGCATTTCAAACATGCTCTCCTAGTGACTAATGTAGATAGTCCAAGAGCTTCCAAACGGGAGAAATATACAAACAAAAACACAGGCTTCTTCTAAGCATTAAAACTTTGCAACCTGCTAATGGGGAAGCTAAAGAGTAGGGCCTACTATACATATTGCATCCAGTAATAGCTTTAGTATCTGCATAAAAGCTGAAGGGAAAGAAAATCACCAGAAAGGAGATCACAGAACACAGTAGGCCCTCCAGTTCCAGAAGAATGTGGGAAGCAAGCCAGGGCACGGAAGGCTGAGGAAAACAGCAGGCATTGTGGTTTAATAGGTCTAGCAGGAATAAGCAGTAGCAAAACAAGCAGAAGAAATGCTACCAGAAAACTCAACAGCAAGGCATGTGGCCCAGGTCCTGAGGAGTGACTACAAGCAGGCACCCAGACCCTCTGAACCTATGTTCACCTGCCCAAAGCAGCAATAACCAGAAATACTGTCAGTTAAATACCCTCCTGGAATCCTATTTGCACAATCTATAAAACGGGTTTGGAGAGATGCCGATGGGGATAGGATTTCTAAAAGATCTTTCAGATGTGACCTGTTGGAAGGGCCTAGGAACTCGGGGATGCCTCGAATGCCCCTGAGCAAGCGGTGCTCCAACAGCCAAAATCAGGAATGAGCCAAAAGGCAAGTCGCACCCGTTTATTGTTTCAGATCACAGGATTCCAAGAGTTGAGTTTACGACCAATGCTTTTTTCATTGCTGCCGGCAGTAGCCGCCTCTCCCACCCCAGTACATCCGTTAGATGCTGGTAAACGTTTTGCGGCGCTGGTGGTTGTTTCGAAGCTTTTTTCCGCTAATATAAACTCGAGAGCGCAGACCAAACCGTTCGATTACATGTCGTGTTTGAGCAACATCATCCAGGCAGACTGAACTTACTGGATCCTGCCCCAGCCCTGCCCAGCGAGCGCGAACACCGAACAAGCCAGTGCCGGCGTCCACGTGAACCACGTGAAGGCAAGGGCAGGGTCCGGGGATATGGGAGAGTGGGTAAGAAGGGCAGTGCAGGCGGGATTGCCGGCCGCGCTGCTTCCAGCCCGGCTGAGGGGCCGCAGGACAGCTGGATGCGTTCCTGGAGGCCGGGCCAAGTCTCGTCCCCCGCCCCGATGGCACTGCAGGAAGGAGGCGGCAGCGTTAACCGCCGCGAGCTGCAAGGGGAGGGCGGCGGCTGAGAGAGCCCAAGGCCAACAAGAGCGCTCAGCTGCGGCCTTCTTTAACCGCCAGCGGGAGCTGGGAGCACCAGAAGCATGGGCCCCCAACGCCGCGAAGATCTACCGCGAGGAGGCTGGGGGCGCTTGAGACCATCTCCAGACAAAAGGTCCTCGCGATACCGGGGATGGCAAAGTCTCAGGAGGACATACAAGGATTAGAGATATGGGGCTTGGGGGATCTGGGGACGTCCCAGGATGGTCCCGGGTTCCGAGGTCCTCACCGCCTCCTACGCGCCGCCACTGCCGGTACCGCCGCCATCTTGTGCCGGGTTTGCTCCCTGACCCCAAGCTTCCCTTCCCCCCGCGAGCGTTGAGCCACGTATCTTAGCGCCCGCCTCTTCCGGCTTTGGGATTGGCCGGGCCCGGGAACGGTCGGGCGGCTGTCCCATTGGCTGAGCGCGCACTCCAAAAGCAGGTAGAGGGCGTGGCTGGGCGATGAGGGCGGAACTGTCCAGAACCTGGCGCTGTCCTATTTTGCCTGCTCTAAGCGTCGGACAGAGGCACTGGACTCTGTTTTTCTCAAATCAGCAAATTTTATTTAGAAAAAAAAAAAAAAGGTGAGAGAAGAAAAAAGTGACAGCGTTCTTTACGCCATAGTCTTAGAAATCTTCATCTTTCTGCAGCACCTTAGCCCCGTCTCACTGCTCAAACTCCCTCGGCTCCCGGAGCATGAAAAAGGCTATGTCCCCTGCCGAAGTAGAGTGGACGGTGAAGGTGCCTGGAAACGGCCAGAGAAAAGGCCCAGGCGGTCAATGTTGCGGTGGAGGACACTGTGCAGCACAGCCAGGTGGGGTCCACCCTCACCCCCACCCTCCCTGGAGAAGTCCCGGATGAAGCGGCCACGCTCTGACTGGAAGATAAACTTCTGGGGCAAGGGCCCGTGCTCCCGGAGAAAGCCCCAGACACTGAGCAGCAGCAGACGCACTTCAAAAGGTGCCAGTTGGCTAAATACTTCGTGCATATTACCCAGGGCTGGTGGCAGAAGGCTTCCCTCAGCCATGACAGCCACTAGGGTGCAAGATGCCTCCAGATGCCAGGGAGAGTGGGCCGTATCAGGGTGGCGAGAGGCTTCCCAATGGCTCAAGAGGGCAGCCAGCAGCCCCCGCAGCAACACGGAGCAGTAGCACAGGGCTGGGGGAGCAGCTGCTACCAGCTTTAACAGCTCAAAGAGCAGGGGCTGCTCCCGGAAGCGCCGGCCAATGCGGAGATCCCGCTCCACGGTGGCCCGGGCGTGCTCCTCAGGGGGCCAGGCTAGCTCAGCGCCAGCCGCATCAGGACACACACTCTCCACCAAGGTCACTGCAACTGCTTTGGCTGCCTCTGGGCTCAGGGTGGGAGCCCCCCAGCAGCCCCCACATTCAGTGCCTCCAGGGGCACTGCAGCAGTGCACCAGGAGGCTGAGGAGGCTCTGGGTGTTATAG